AAGTCGGAACACTCGCTGTTCCAGGGCAAACCCAAGCCATTCAGCCCACTGGCTGCTCCCACCGCCCTGGGCAAGCAAAGTCGCATACCTCGTGGTCCTTTTGCTGAGGTGAAGCCTTTGAGCAAGGCACCCGAGGATGGGAAGTCGGATGACGAAATCCTCTCGAGCAAGGCCAAGGCCACCCCAAAGAAAGCTGGTGCCGGAGCTGGAGTAGAGTCCGCTTCCAAAGGCCAAGGAGAGGAAGGGGTGGATAAGACCTTCCTAAAGGTGGATCCAGAGCTGGTGGTGACGGTGCTGGGCGACTTGGAGCAGCTTCTCTTCAGTCAGATTTTAGGTGAGTGCAAAACAGCCATCATAACCTCCTATAGTATATTTGGTTGTTGTGCAATGAGCCAGAGCCACTGATTTTACAACAGCACGCCCCCTTTTAATACAAGCTCCCACATGGCACCTGCTTGTTGCTGACTCCCATTCTCTTTTGTGCATTCACCCTCATTCCCTTTTCTGATTCAACTGTTTAGTAAATGGTTAATTATTAGCAGTTTCAATTAAAACCATGTGATTTCTTCAACACCTAACCCTTCTTTGTTCTTTCTCCTCCTTCATGGGACTCGTATGTCTGATCTTTGGCCATTTTGACTGATATGAAATACACAAACAGGGTGATTGCATGAAACCCAAGGGTTTGTGGATTATTGCCAGTGGATTGATCGCCTTTTAAAGCTCYCATTTGCTACATGTGCTCATGCACTCTGCTCCATCCACAGCATCTATGCTTCCATAAAACGGATCTGGAAATGACATCCTGACATTCTTTCTGAGAGACGTGAAGCTTCTTCCCAGCTCTATTCATCTGAGTTCTGACGAGTGAATGACATATTTTTACTACTACATTAAAACTATCTCAGAAAAATAGCTTTCTGCTTGGAGGTGCACATCAGATTTAGCATGAGGAAGGTCTGGATGAGGGAAATGATTTAAATCATAAGAAGATGTTGATTTGGATGCCTGATTTTGTTTGCATTGTGCTTATCTCCATACATACATGCAGGCTTTTTAGTATCCAGTGGCAGGTGGTGTATTGTTACCTGTGGTCACATAAGAGGACAAAGCTTYATCTTTGGAAGTCTTCCAGATGCTGTTTTACTCAAAGCTTTCACTCATCAGGTTTTTAATTCAGTTTTCCACTTAGACTTTTCTAGAGGATTTGGCCTATAGAATATAACATTTTGATTTTACACCTGATTTATACCTTTTTCGACTAATCAGTTTATCAAATGGGAAAAGGATTTGCAGAGAATGCAAGTGGATTCTTTTGGGGTTTTACCATAAAGTCAGAATGGATTATCAGTGCAACCTTAGCTCTCATGATTTACCATGCAGTCTCTTATTTTTCATCAGAACCACATGTGTCCTTTTGCATTTTAATAAACACATCTGTGGTGAATCGATCTAYTATCCATGCTTCATTAGTCCAGATGGAACGCCATCATGCATGTTTGTCACATGTAATCTACAAGTAAGACCTATAAACAACACAGGACAGATGGCAGCATCCACACTTCTGTGCCTTTTTTAGTGTGAAGGCATGGCACAGCCACTCACAACTAGCCTATTTCTAAAGCACTGATAAATATTTCATCATGTATTCTTCTTAGGAAATTTTAACTCTTTTGCCTTTTTATTCTGTAGATAGTCCACAATGAAGTGAGTTTCAGAAATCCAAACTTAGAGTACATTGAATGTTCACTGCAACACAAAAACTCCATCTCAAGAACCACAAACCTAACATGAGTGTTCAGATAATGGAGAGCTATTTATTACAATTTCACAACAGTAGGATTGACTCTGTTAGCTTAGCATTTTGTTTAACTTGGAGTTTATCAGCTTTTGTTATTGTTATATTTTGAATATGAGAGGGCAACATCTAAACTCATTACCATACTGAGCATGTACAGTAAGCATTCTTATTACCGTAAGCTGAGCTTTTTTATAGTCTGCAGTCCTTTTCAAGGCCTGTTCAATGCTTTTAATATTGAGCTGCTTCAGAAGCAGACCTCATAATGAGCTCCCTGCAAGGATGTTTTTACTTCTAGACAGAAGTCTCTTTTATTGTTGCTCATTGACATGGTAAATAAGCACATTTCTTAAATTGTCTATATAAGTTTGTGTTTTGTATAATAGAACAAAGGCCCTTTCTATACCATGAACAAGATGATATATATATAT